CCGCGCTCCGGCCCGGGGCCCTGGGACGCCTCCTCTGTAACAGATCCTCCTGGTTTAGCCCCGGGAATCGTTCCCTGAAGGCCTGGGGTGAAACCCGCACTCGGCTCTGGGATGCAGCTGCCATTAAACAGGAGTTTTTCCTCAGATGAAGTTATCCGCAAGCGACTTCTGATCGATGGTGATGGTGCTGGTGACGACAGGCGGATCAATTTGTTGGTGAAGAGTTTCATTAAGTGGTGTAATTCCGGATCTCAAGAGGAAGGGTATTTGTTTTCTGTTGTGTTTTGGTTTTAGTCTTTGAACTGATTAGCTTGCATTTCAGTGGAAAATTGGGCTTGATCCATTTTGAAAAGATCCATGTTCAAATGTATACATCTGCTTTTCAGTATGGCTCTGTGGCGTTTCCAGTACAGATGCCAAGCATTCCGGTAGGAGGACTAGAGATGGGTCAGAAATTACTGAAGGCTGCAGGCTGTATCATGAAATCTGCCAGCGCCGCTCGAACGCCCTCAGGATTGTCATGCTGCTGTGTGATCCATCCAGGAGTCCTGCTATTATAACGGGATCACGGCTCAAACATTTTAGTTAGCAGTTGTGCATTTGTTCTGTTAGGGAAGGATTCTGTTCTGTAGTACTGCTGGTACTTCTGTTGCTGCAGTTCTTTTCTTTTAAAAAACAGGCTAAAGTGGTAAGGAATGAGCAACAATGAGGTGTTTTACTGTGGGGTGCCTAGTAGTACTTGATATAAATTTCTGGAGGGCACGATATATAATGATTGTGTGTGCAGAGAAGCACTGCAGTATTAAAATATTTATCTCTGTGATCACAGAGCCAGCCTTAGATGGGGAGGTTATAACCCTGGACCAAGCTGCCCATTGCTTTAACACTGCTCACTTTGTACCTTTAAGGACATGATGGTAGAATTAATGGGTGCGATGTTTCTAGCTGCACTTTGAAAAATTATACATTGAGTCTTTTAAATATTTTATTTCTTTAATAATTGTTATTTACCTGTTCCTTAAGCCACATGAGGTTTTGTTTTCTTGTTTTGTAAAGGTAGGGGGTATTTTTATGCTGCTTAAGAATAAATATCTTGTCTCTTTTCAGTTACAGCCAGTACCAACGAATGCTGAGTACTTTATCACAGTGTGAATTTTCAATGGGAAAAACTCTTCTGGTGTATGATATGAACCTGAGAGAAATGGAAAATTATGAAAAAATCTATAAGGATATAGGTAAAGATGAGAAAATATTACTGGTTTCTGTTTGACGATTTCTCTTATGAGCAAGCTTGAACCAGTTCTGGTGAACATACATATGATAAGTAGTTTGGGTTTTGGTTGGGGTTTTTTTCTTCTTAATATATAGCACTCATACAGATGCTGTAAACATCTTACAGTATATAAAATACATACAAATAAAAGCTTTTTTAACCTATTGAAGTGTATGTAGTTTTGAAACTGATGGAGCTAGCAGGCCACCATGTCACAACCAACTCTTTATGTTTTTATGATTTAGCAGAGTGGCTTGTTTACATGTATTGTTTGATTTCAATATAACTCGGGGGGTTTGTTTTTTTTTAAGAAAATAGTATAACTGCAGCACATGAGAAGATTTCTGAATGCAAAAAACAAATCCTGCAAGCAAAAAGGATTCGAAAAAATCGCCAGGGTAAGGAGCAATATCTGTATTTACACTGTTTGGTTTCATTATTTTGTTACCTTTTAAAATATATTGTATGGAAAATAGATTCCAAATTTTTGGAATTGCAAAGGACTATGCTGGCATCATGAATGCTATATTTAGTCTGGTGGGTTCCACACCCACCAGAAAGTTTTTAGTGGATGCAGCAGGCAAGATTGAACCAGTAGATCTCAATGCCACGCAACATCAGGAAAACCTAAAACAGTGGTTCAGAGATTTTTTCAGGCCAAAGAAAAACCCCAAAAGCATCATATCCCAGTTCAGGTGACTTGAGAAGAACTAAAGCACATAATTAACAGCGAGACAAGAATTGAATAGACTTACACCCAGCACTGGAGATTATGCAAGTATCTTCCTTCTGCTCTTGAGGGAAGGTAATGTCTTGGCATAGGTAGAGACAGTGGTGCCAGTTACACACCCAACAACTTTCTGTCCTTACTGAATACCTGGTATGAGAGGGCTAATTTTTCCCTACTCTTAAAAGTATGTGCTGATGATTTCAATTGAAACTTAAAGCATTTCCCTGTAACACCATCTTATCAAAAGATTAGCAATTGAGGAAAAGTAAGAATTTGGATGGTTTTTGATAAATGAAATACAAAAAGACAATGTTCAAAAGTATAACAGATGAATGGTTTTAAATACAACTGTTTGATCAATTTTGTGGATAGTTTTAGACTCAATTGGAAATTCAAAAAACCGGAGCCAGTAGAGATTTAGTTCTTACATCTGCCCAAACATAGGTCTGAAGTGTTTGCTTTTTGATATGTTCTGTCCAGCCTGCAGCACAGATTTTTCCATGTGAATGGGGTAGTTGGCATATGTACAATCTTACTGTCAGGAAACTGCTATGTTAGTTGCCTGTACAACCATAATATTGTCTTTAATGTGTAATACAGTTAAAAAAAAAAAACAACCTAGACACCTGTTTTTTCTCAGGCAGCTTTTTCTAAAAATCTTAAATGTTTGTATAACATCTTATCAGCACCGTTTTCTGTACATATACATTAGATTGTATCTAAAACCAAAGCTTATGAATCATACACAGAAGACCAAGTGTGCAGCAGCGCAGAGCTATGTAAAGGTCATGTTTTCTGGCCTCATCCTTTACAAATCACTAGCACTGAATAAGTTTGAGTAGATAATGGCCTACAGTCATATTCAAGTTTATTTAAAATCTCTTTTGATGTAATCATCTACTTTGAAATGTTATAGCTTGGTACAAATCACATACATTTTTTAATATGGATATTTGCAGGCACGTTTTTATACATGTAAGGTGTTAATGTACAAATTTGAAAAATGTTAAAATGGTTTTTCAAGAAGGAGAAAGAATCTGTACCGTTCTATGGTACCTGATTTGTGGTTCTTGAATCTATACTTTCAGAATTATTTAGACTAACTATTTAAATTTCTTTCAGAATACGACGCATTGGCCAAAGTCATACAACACCATCCAGACAGACATGAAACATTGAAGTAAGTAGGAGACTACATTAATTTATAAGCCAGTAAGCTAGAAGTCACCTGATTTGACATTTCCTTGGTTTCATTTGACCTTTCCTCATTTTTCTTTTGACACAAGAACAACTTGGCTTTGGTTTTAAAATTATGCCCTTATCAGCTTGCTTTGATTAATCTCCATTTGTATGGGTTCAGAAGCATTGCTAATTGTTTTGCATTTGAAATTTTCCTATTGTTAAGGTGAATAAGTGAATTCAGGTGTAAATGCACATCTAATGTCAGTTTACCAGGGATGAATTACTCAGAAAAGACAGATAGTGGGGAACTGCTGTAAAGTGTGCCAGCAAGGGATTCAGTAGTCATGTAAAATAGATAGCACACAAGCAAGTAAGGTGGAATGAGAAAGCAGGAGAAAGCTTTTAGGGTTTTTTTTATGTTTTCCTTGTAGTAGTTGTTCCTGCATGCCCGGTTATAAATTACTACGTTGTATACCACAATATAACCTGCCCTGACATGCAGGTTAGACCTACTTGTCCAACTCGTCTTACATGTAACTTACAGTATTGCTTGTGTCGTTGTTGGATTTGGATCATTGTGCTTTTGGGTTGTTTTGGGCAGCTGTGGGAAGATAATCTTTTTAACTTCTATAAAGCCACAGAAACATTCCAGGACTCATTTCATCTATGAGTTTGTTCTTCCTAGCATAATTAAAGATGTAGCATGGGGTTACTGTTATTGAAATGCAGCTTGTGTCTGCCTATCTTGTTGCTTGCTTTCAGGGAAATTGCAGAGGGAGGCTGTCTTTTCACATGCCATGGTCTTTTATAGCAAAAGGAAGATTTTTGATTATATTACCCTAATAATAGCATTTTTATAGCTATAAGCCACTGAGAATATTTCACACCTTTCTCTCTTGTATGTTTGGGTTTTGTACCTTGATTTCATTACCACAACTTTGTTTATTACAGGCAATTCTCATGAGGCTTGGCTATTTCTTACTTCATTAGTCAGCATGTGCCATTTATCAAATGAGAGAATTACCAAAAGTGAAGGTTTTCAGATAAGTCAATTGATTACGAATGGAAACAACTAAATGATAATACTTTTTTTTTTTTCTTTTTTCTTAGAGAATTCCAGGTTGTTAAGGTCTGGAGGGGTGGTTCTAATTTTGCTTAACACATCCAAGCATAAGTTTCTTGAGCAAAGCTAGAAATGGTAGTAAGTTACAGCTAGTAAATTTGTCATTTTGTGTTTTCTTAAACAATTTTATCATCTCTTTAGGAGACTATATTACAGTTAGAAATACCAGTGTGTTCCTCCACTTGAAGAACAGCTACAGCGTATGCCATTTTGTCTCTAGACCTTCCTGTCTGTAGTCAAAGACACAGACTTGAACTATAGCAGGGTATGATCCCCCATTTTACAGGTGCGGAAATAGGACACAGTAACAGAATGGAGCATTTCTAAAGGGAGCTTGGTTCATAGGTATTTTAGCTGTACTAGCCTCTCCAAGTGAATAGACTTTAAATATAGGAACTAGGTGAAGTTTTCATCCCATGTTTTAATTACAAGGCTTCCTTTCTCTCCAGTTTGAGGAAAGTATACAGAAAATTGTACTATGAACCAAGAAGGATCACCCTTAAATCAGAATGGAGGAAGCCTCACTAACAACATCATGCTTTTCCTGGAACTCTTAATCACTAAAAACACTTTAGTATTCTTGCGAGGAGAAATGTCGTGGTTTCATAGAATCATAGAATGTCCTGAGTTGGAAGGGACCCATAAGGATCATCAAGTCCAACTCCTGGCTCTACACAGGCCCAGCCGAATCAGACCATATGACTAAGGGCATTATCCAGACGCTTCTTGAACTCAGTCAAGCTCGGTGCTGTGACCACTTCCCTGGGGAGCCTGTTCCAGTGCCTGACCACTGGTTTATTGCGAGAGTTAACGTTTATAGCTGTCTCAGGTCATATGGGACAACAGGACAAAGTTAGAAAAATACTTTTTGCTTTTAAGACACTGTTTCTTGGAACAACTAGTCATACAGCACAGAAGAAGAGAAGCTCTTACTGGCTTAGTCACAAATAATGCACGGGAGCCAATTCAGGAAGTGACAGGAGCTGAACTACTAAATGGCAGTGTCCACAGTGTAATTAGACGCAGTATCAGAAGAGCTGTTAAGAGGACCAAGAAATGACACTGAGTCTTTGAAAAGGAGATCCAAAAATGAGAAGGCTAGGCAAAGATTCTCTGGAGTGGAAAGTAAAAGTAAAATTCCGGATGTAGCTAGGAGGTTACTAGAAAAAAAAATGCATGTCGTCTGACAGTCTGCTTATACCTGACAGCACGCTATAAACAGCAAGATTTGGCCAAATAGAAGTCTTGCAGAAACTAGAAACCAAATACTAGCAAAATCACTGTATGAGCCTATAAGCTGTCAGCCTGTTTCCATTATAGGAAGGGATAATGTCACACCCAACCCTCTTTCAGGCATTCCCTTCAAGGTACCAAGCATACAGGCTCAAAAGAAGGCAACACGCTCAGGTAGCAGTAAACAGACCTTTTTCCCAGCCATTGTGAGATACTTGGCCTTTTTGTGGTTCCCTGCCCAGATTAGTTGCGGCAGCTGTCAGTGCTTCAGAAAAAAACCCTTCTGTTCCTTTGCTGACCCTGATATGGCTCTGCCTGCTAATTAATCGGGGATGGTCAGCCTCAATCCACTTCACCTTTAAAGAAACAGACTGTTCTTATTACATGGAGCATAAATTATGGTACTCATTAGAGGAGAAGTAGAAGGGGCAAACTGGAAGTTTGAGTGTAACAGTTCACACTCCATCCTCATTTGAAAACTAGTGTACATTATGATACCTGTTACTCTTTGCCCTACCTCAAAAAGGATTGTGGTGGTCCATGGTGGGTCTAAGTGAGAATAGAAAACAATCAAATGCTTGCACAAAGATCCTGAAGAGGTGTTGAAAGATTAATATTTCAAAAGGATATGAATAATAATGAAGATTATAGGGTGTTCCATGTTTCCTTTATCTCTTAATGCCAGGGCAATCAATTAAAATAAAAACTGGCATTTGAGAAGGAAATTAGTATTTATATGGATCACAGTGCTAAATTCTGTGTGCTGGGACATAATCTATATCATGTTGTTTCATGTGTTATCCAGTACTCCGATAAGGCCATTGTCAGAGATAAGGTACTATGTGTTTGGTCAGTTGTTGTGTCTAGGAATTCTTGTGTTTGTATCTTGGGTATGCAGGTTTATCAAATATTTTCTCCATGCTGATGCTATGTTTTTATTTAATCTACTCATGTAAACATAAAGAAATCTGTGAAGTAGTGAAGCCTATGAAAATGCCATGGGTGTTTAATGTAACCCACTTATTTAACTTTCATTGTAATGTCAATTAAATAACATGTTTGTGGCAGGACTGAATTGTTAAAGTCCAAATGCCCGGTATACAACTGTATTCAAGCTTGAGAGGCCTTGTTTTCTCTAAAAGTCCTGAAAGTACAAGTTTATGTCATAAAGTTTAACATACATGTCTATGTCATTTCACGTGTTATGCTTTGTTTACCTATGCTGTTTATTTAATGGGGCTTTTTTCCTCCACTTAGTTCAAATCTATTTTTCAAGAATTTTAAAGAACTTTTAAAAAAATACTATGATAATGTCTTTTCAGACAGCTAGAAGCCTTGGGAAAAGAACTGCAACATCTTTCTCACATTAAAGAAAACGTTGAAGATAAGGTAGGTTTTTCATAGAGATTGTTACATAATGATTTATTAGGAACATGATTAACAGAGAATCTGCTGTGGGTTGTTTGGCTGTATGTGCTCTCCTTTTCCTAAAATACTTGTCGTTCCAGTTGGAGCTGAGAAGAAAGCAGTTTCATGTTCTCCTGAGCACCATCCATGAGCTTCAGCAAACCCTGGAAAGTAAGTGGTGTTCTTAGGAAATGTATATAACTGGGTCGGGTTTCAGGGGATCAAAAGGAATCACAGCTTCCAGCAGTGGGCTAGCTATGTGCAACTGAGGTTGGTGACCTCTTGCATCAGCAGCATTTTTTTTCATAGTAGTAGTCCAGAGCCTGAGACTGCTCAGAATTTTTTTCTTTTACAAGCTAGCCACTATGTTGTTTCCTGACTAGCTTCAGATTAATCTGTAGGCAACAGACTTCTTACAAACGTGGGGATGGAGAATAGCAATTTGAGATTGTGTTGTGTTGGTTTTTTTTTAAACAGAGAAAGTATTTTTTACAGACAAGTATTCTTGTTTCCAAACTTATTCGTATGATTCCAGTTTCAGTAGTTTTGAACATGTCACTACCATCATGGCATCGTTTGAGGCTTTACTAAAATTGGAATACAGGAAAGCTAAATGACTTGTCTGTTCAGACAGTGAGTCTGTAATAGAGCAGGGACTAAACCTGTCATGCACAAGAGCTAAATTCAGTAATTTAGTCACACTCATCTTTTGTGATACAAATACTTAATATTTTCAAATCAGCACTTACTTTCTATACTCTAATATGGATAGTATTGTTTTAAATGTTATTTTCTGGATATTTGTCGTGTCTTTCAAAGACAGATTAATTGCTATAGCCTTTGAGCATGACCTGATTAACATACATAGATGGCTATAAGAGCAGACTTTCATTCTCTAAGACCATCTAGATCTTCTTAAGGAGAATGAACTGTTAATCCAAGGTGCACTTTAGCAGAAGGTTATTGTTACTATGTGTTGCTAACACTTGCTTAAGTATTAGTCTCTAAAATACATTTTCATATGAATGTATAGATGACCTTTCAGCCTTTAGGATTTCTGAAGGACGTAACTTTTTAGTGGAAGGCACAGGTTCAGTTTGAAATAAACCGTTAATAGGCAAAGAGAAGGCATGTAATTTGAAGCAATCCAGTACTGTGTGCTTGAATTGATACTATAGTATTTACCCCATGTTTCTGGTAATTGCTGTTACAGATAACAGCTTTGAAAACTTTGAAGGATTTTTTTGTTTGTTTGAACATAGCATTTTGTATAATGAGATATTCAACTACACATTTTAAGCAATCAACATAAAATATTTAAGTGGGACACAGCTCTGCAATATAGTCTGTAAATATAAGCAAGCATGTTTGACTAACAGTAATATTGAATTTTAGATGATGAAAAACTTTCAGAAGCTGAAGAATCTCAAGAAACTCAGATGGAAACAGAGACCAAACAGTAGATGTAAGATGAAGACTGACTATATTAAAGAGTGTCCAAGTATCTTCACTTTATGTTGAAACCAACAGTAAGAGAGTGCCGAAAAATAGTTTTCTACTGCTTCTGTGAATTTTTATACAAAAATATTTGTTCTGCTTATGCTTCAGGGGAAATCAGTTCCAGATCTGTGCAGACAGACACTTTGTGTTAATCCACAAACTTTGAAATTTGTGACAAGAAATATATTTTGTTTTACAAAGGATGAAGCTTCTGCATAGTACTTGCAAACTAAGGTGTTTGCAAACCGTTGCCAATAAAAGGTGTTTACAAAGAGTTTCTTAATTTTGTAGTAGGCATTGAGCCTAATAGTAAGGGCTCCTTTTCTCACTTGATGTTGGACTGAGGGCGTTGCATCTTTGCATGAGTCCCAGCTCCCATACCCTAGTCCAGATGGGACCTAAAACTGAACTAAGTAGGGTCTTAATTTTTCAAAGTAGCTGCCATTTTAACTTACCTGTGACTAGACTAGAATTTGCTAGTTTCATATCAAACAAATTACTTCTATAGAATTAATGCTTGTCAAGGGGTGTAAAAGCTAGTATAGTATGATTTTTTTTGTTGTTTTTTTTTTCTTAAGGTGATGCAAAGAACTGCAGTGGTCTGAGCCTCACTAGTCTGTGCTCTGTACAACCACATCAAAAGTCACATTGTGAAATGACACGTTTAAAACTGCAATGTAAAAGCTTTGTTCTTGTAGAACCAGGAATCTAATCCTGATACCATTTGTAACCTGCTTCTGGATTTTATCTGTCAATCGACTATTAAGAAATACATCATAGTTCCTGAAACAAATGGTGGAACCCTTTCTTTCTTATGATGACAACCAAAGCAGTAGAGTGGCAATATTAACCTGTATTATTATTAACCTGTTAGCCACGTTTTCTAAAAACATTTGTTAAATCAAGCCTTCCAGGGGTTTGGGTAAAGGAACCCATTTTTGATCTCGCTCAGACTGAGTTACAAGCATACGTGGTTGAAGTAAAATAATGATGGTATACAGAATAGAGCCTCATCCTCAAACTAGCTGACAGCTGAGGGAGATTTCCAGGATTGTGACTTTGGACTTTTATAGTCTAAATGCTGAATAATTCTCACTCTCAGTGAGCGTGGATTTGTGTGTGTTGGGCTGAACAGACATATCTGAGCTTGTTTTGCTCGCATTCCAAGTTTGCTAAAAGCAAGCCAGCTGAACGAGAAGTCATACAACTTCAGTAGCTCAGTGCAGCCCTGGAATAATAAGCTGTCAAAAATCTTCCACTTCACAGCTGGTCAACTCAGAACACAGGGGAAGCTCAGGTCTGCCTGATAGAGCCTGTGCAGACTTGCAGTGCTTCTCTTGCACTACAAATTTTGCAGACTGGTGGGGGTTGTGAGCAAACAAAAGGGATTTAATACGAAAAATACCCTCTCAAAAAGTATTTACTGCTCTGTGTTTTTCCCCTCCTAACAACAGTGAACAGTAAAATATTTTGTAAAGCAGCAATACTAAATTGTTGCCAAATCAGGGAGGAGTCACTTTCATGAACGTATGAATTATGGAGATGATAAATGACAAAGTCTCAAGACACTTTTAAAGCATAGTAACATTTTTTTTGTGATTAAAAGGCCCTCCATGAGCTACCTGGATTGTATTTTGGTGCAGAGGTGGATGACATTTACTAGCTAAAAATGGTATCTAACAGCATTGTCATGAAAACTTCAAATTTTTCTATTCTTTGTTTTACCTGGTACTTTGGAATTTTACTTCGATCACTCAAGTATCTTATCCCAGAATTTCACTGCTCCATAGAGAAGCTGACCTGAAACCTGACCAATGTGTGAGTCTGTCTCTCTGGTAAGGAAAACATAGGCAGAAACAAAACTTCTACAGAAGAGAAGCGATACAAACACACGCAAAGTAAGGAATATAGTCTAGTTTGAATTACAGTGATGCAATCTTGAAAAGAAATTACTGCCCTAGAAATCAAGTTGCCCTAGCGCAGTGTGACAGCAAGAGGGTGATGTCACCGTATCACCTTGAAGAACAACAACAAAAAAAGTGACATCCATGCATTGCAGGTGCAGCCTCAGTTGCACATCCAAAATCTTTGCTCCTATTTTTTTCAGTGTTTATACCTCTAACCTCTTGAACATTAGATTTGTACCAAAAGAGAAACAAAACCGAATTAAATACTAATGCCAGACATCATTTAACCTGCTCTGTTACAAAGCCACAAGTTCCAGGTTTGATTCTGCTATGCATATATTGAAAATAGGTATCTGCATCTCCTTTATTCTTCTGTTGAAGTTTTGTGTCATATTTCCAAGGCACAGGTGATAGTCACTGTTCTCATCCCTGCCTGGAAAGCTATCCTGCTGTGATGCTGCTTACCTGCACTGACTCTAAACGTACACACAGAAAAATCTGTACGTATGTAAACTCAAGATCTCAACAACCACACTACTTAAATAAGGAATCTTTACTGTTCTTAGGATTTGCCTTGTCCCTATTTGAGCTGAAAGATTATTACATGCCTAAATGCTCCCTCCATCTTAATGCCATTGCCATGTGGATGCAAAAATACAAGCAGAAAGAGAGGTGCTGAAGTGATAAGCTGACATTTTCTATGCCAGAACTTGTTTTTCTGTCCTCTCCAAACAAGAGAGCGGTAGAGGGAGAGTAGAATATTGGATAAAATTGGTAACTTGGGCAGAAAGAGCTTAGTGAGCTCCATCGAGGGATGGAGGAAGGAGGAGAAAGAAGGTCACGGTGACACACTGCCAAGTGATGGATATCTCTGAAACCATGGTAATTTGAGGACAGCTGTTGACAGCAAAGAAAATTGTGAAAAATATATCCCAAAGATTGATGAGAGAGAAATTATGAATTATTGTAGATAACTTGCAATGTAAGTTTTCCAGCTGTCACAGCTGACTTGGACCATCTATTCCCCTACTTCTTTTCTCAGGTCTTGGAAGGTTCTCCTTTTTTGGTAAGTTTAAAAAAAAAAAAAATAAATTCAGAAATACTGGCAAGGACTGTTAGTTTTGCTCTGGGAACTTGCATGATTTTTGTTTTCTAGAATATGTGCATTAGGGAAGTACTATGCTAGTGTGTGAACCACTTAAAATATAAATACACACCAGACCCCAGGGAAAGCAAGTTAGCACTAGGGAAGTGCTCTGCCTTTCATGCTTCATCCTGATTGTCAGATGTGTTCTTGGCTTACCTCAGCCTTCGTTTCCCCAGTCTATTTTAATAAATGTTATTATCTGTGTTGCAGAAGTCCCTGGAAGCTCCGCTGGTAGCCCAGGGCCCACGTGTTGCTAGGCACTGTGCAAAGGCAGAACAAAAGGGCCGTTCCTGCCCCCACGTCCTGGGCAGCAGCCGGGAGGCAAAGCCGGGCTCAGAGTGTCTGAGCAGAGCTCGCATCGCAAGCGTGCCCGCAAAACCCCGTGCTGTTCACCCTGGCCTGGCAGGATTCACCTGCCTGCTGGCAGCGGGCAGGAAGCCAGCAGGAGCTGGCACAGCATCGCTGCGTGAGGCTGCTCGGTTACACGCCAAAGGCACCGGGGGAATGGGATGCTGGGGCTGGGACCCGGCCCATCCCTTGCCGAGGAGTCTCAGCATCCTCGTGTGGAGGAGCTTCCCAGGTATTCAAGAGTAATCCTAAAGCCAGGGATGCAGTATGGCATGGCCTGTGCCAGGTTAGCAGAGTCTGGAAGGGAAGGATGAGGGGCCTGACAGTCCCTCCGCAGGGTAAAAGGATGGAGGGCTTGTTTCACAGGAGGAGCTCGAGGTCTGTCCTCGCCAGAAGCAGAGAGCTGGCTGTGTTGGGCAGTCGCTGCTGGTGCTGGCGGAATGGCAGGAGCTGGTATTAATTGAGGAACCCACGAGGAAGCAAACTTGTTTTTCTCCATTTGATACATTTGCATTTCGTGTAGCTTTTGTGTAGATAACACGTCTGGATTACACAAA